TGCTCCTGCATCCATCTCCTACCAATTTACAATGTAATTTCTTGTAAAGAAGAATAAAATGGCCGAAGAAGGGGCAAGATGGCGTCCAGAACTCTTGCGACTCTATAAAATAACTTATCAGATCCCGTGTAAACATAATCAATGGGCTGATCGGCACTCTAATTGGCCAAAATGATTTTAATAACCAATAAGAAAATGAGGAGCGGCAGCCAATGCGGTGAGGCGGCCTAATAGGCGGATATGTCTGCCTTACCATTTACATACGTTTAACCGCGCCAGTCACAGACTTATCTGTACATCTAGTCCGTCAGTGCAGTGGCAACTTGCAAAGCGACTGAGTCCGATTCAAACATTGTATTTGAATGAGGATGGACTTGACTCGCCGTCGCCGGTCTGTGAGTGGGTTTATGGCAAGCGTTGAGTTTTATAGCATACTTGAAATAATGACATGCAGTCGTAGGTATATTTGAAATATGTCATACGAGTCATGTCATGCTTGGAATTCTTACTTGACATCACGGTGTGTAGATGATTTTGGAAATACGCGACTCTTAGAAACATTGAAATGGGACGAAAGTTCCAATGAAAAAAATGTTAGCATTTACTTATTGCGGATACCTATAAATTATACTTATATCATTGATAGTACATGTACTGTCGCCCTTCATTGACAAATTTGGCGAATTGAAGTTTTCATGTTCTACACTGCACGAATGAGAATCTATCTGAGGGCAGCTGGTGCTGGCCAAAACAGGGTCGGAAGCTAAATATTTGCTAAGTTTCAGGGTCAGTTCCTCACTTATGTCAACGACTTCATTCTTCACTTCGTTTTCCAAGTAATTAAGTCAAAGTCTAATTGATCGTATGTCATTTTGCTAATCCAATGTTTCTATAATGCATCAGTCTTCGATCGTCTCTAGTGCATAACTCTCATCTTAAGAGTAAATAAAGGGACTGACCAACTGTCAGTTAAGTGTTTGGGAACCTTAGAAACGACCGTAATATTTACTAATGCTCGTACAAATATAATTCACTCTCAGAGTGTTATACATAGCGTACACCGATCAACATATCTGAGGTCAAACCACTCAACAAAGAAAAATGCATTTTGGCCGGAGAACTACAAAACCACAGCCGAGACAAATTAAACGTTGGACAAGACGTATGTCGGCTCATACCGATATTTCAGCGTCACGGGAACGGCTCATGACTTATTGGAGGATTTTTGAATGACGAATCGTCGAGCTGCACCGGTGTATTAGCATAGATGAGGAACTGAGGAACGCGGAATGCGAACGAACGGAACGCGATGCCTCAATCGGTGATCGAATTTGCGGTTAGTTGGTGTCGCTCGGGGCTCTCCGTCGCCGTGACACGCTGAGACGAATGCTCGGACACGGACACTCGGGACACGCCGCCGCCCACTTATTTATTTAAATGTTTCACCCTTCCAGGCTCCGCATCGGAATCGTTAATTTGCGTCATATTTTGGAAAGGAGTTCATTAATTGTAGCGACGGCGCACCGTATCTGCTGTCCGCTCCGCTGCTTCTGACACATGTCAACCGGTATTCTTCTCGACCACGGTTGTACACAAGTATAAACAAGACGGACGACTACCGACTCCTCTGAGTCCGCCGGTTGCCGCCCTCGGGTCTTGGGTGATGGTCAGATACCCGGAGCCATCATAACTACTGAGTACTGAAGGTTCAATTGATCTTTCCTTGAGATTTAACCAACCATTGTTTTCCATCTTCGATTTCCTACATTAAGATGTCGAGAGTGGTAGTTCAACATGTTATCTTCAAGGCCTGACCATTGCTCGTCAAATATTTGGCTGCTTCCTTGAACTCTTGAACTATTTAGAACCAGGAAGTTTAATTTGGAACTTCCCAGCAATTACCGTCACTTTATGATGTTCTTATTTTAGTGGAGTTTAGTTGTAGAGTTTAATATGTTACCACCACAAATTAGTACTCTAAAAATATCCAGGTTGATGGTTGGTAAAATGATAATCTGCATTAATCGATCATCATAACAACAAAATACACTGTTCGCACAATGTTTGGAAATGAAGCATAGATTTCAGCTCACGTCCGTTTTCAGACACCTCCAATACGCTCTATAGAAGTTGTCGGCCGAACGTTGCTCTGTCAGACGGGCATTGTAGCACTGCGGAATGTTGACTTTGAGGTCTGGCCTGAAGTAGCTATAAAGCCCCAGTCATCCTCTCCTCTCCAATAGAATATTTTAACTTGTGTTTGCTCCTCCTCTTAGGAATTATACAAATCTGGAGCTCAAGTAGGAAGACCCTCCCGGTCTTGTATAGAAGAGGCTCTGTGTATGCACTTTGACTTTTCATCCAAGTTTTCTTTTTCCACGCTCCAACACTTGAAGTGTTCAAAGGTCATGATAACTACCGACTGCGCTGTCATCGTAGACATTGTTCGGTCAGCACCTATTGTGGATTTTTATAAAGTTTTTACTGGAACAAATCAACGAGTATTTGACATCCGAAGGTCGTCAAAACGTCGAGTGAGTTTGAGAGCTATTCCCAATACCTACTGGGAGTTGACAGCGATACCTTGCCTTGTTCACGACCTGGCTGAGGCACACACAACAGCAACACAACCTTCACCGAACCATTCGTGTGGGTGTTCAATACATTTCTGATTTCTGCAAACTGTTGGCAACTTCGTTGCCATTAAATTTATATGAACTTGTAAAGTGACGTTTCAGTGCAACTATTACAAATGTTAATTTTGTTAATATTTTATCCGACTTGTCATTTGCCTTTGTAATATGTGCGTTAATCGAACACTAAATCATCGAAGTGGAACATTTGTCTTTCTGATCATTAACATTTATAGTTCAATCGTGTTAGTGCATAGAATGAAGCTTTGGATTGTTTCTGTATTTCTCTCGTAACTTTGCAGTACTTGAATATACTTCTATCTTGTACAACGATGATGACGCATTATTAGCTTGCCAAGTCGATAATTTGGATCTTAATTTGAACAATAAAGAACATATTTGCAAAGCTCGTTTATCACTGGGTTCTCAAAGGAAGTCGTCACAAATTGTCACACTTTGAAGCAAACTGCTGTCAACGAATAAACCCGATGCTTTACAGCCGTCCAAAACCAATGTAGCGTCTGTCGTAGGCTCATCGGCCGCTGACGGGCCTATAAAGTCAGTAGCAGTGGCTCATTAGGGGCCCGAGCCCACTACCACTCAACACACGTAGGCCTGTACCCAGATTTACGCGACTCCTACGAGAATATTGTCGCTCAACAATTTCAATAAATACGGTTCGACATGACAATAAACAATCACGCCGTTGACCCGAGACGGATAATCGATCGATTGTTTCCCGCCAGATATTGATGTGATGACAGTTTCTAGAATGTCGCACATTTGGCGGGAGATGTCTGCACGTACGTGATCTCATGCACGAGTGACATTAAGATATGGGCGGCCAGAACTAGGCAATTATGGCATTGTGACTTGATGATTTAGCTCTTTGTCCCATTAAAATCCCGTTTCAATGCTTGCGTTTTACAGATAAACCTTTTCATTAGCATACAATTAGTCATGATCGTTATCATTAGTAAAAGTGAATGTGGTGTAGAGGGAGTCAGCAAGGACAAGCTAGACAGAATACCTACTATCATGGGAAATTGCTACGCCCACGGATATCCTGCATATGGTGCGCGTTATGTGCGTATTTTATTTGACCATTGACGTTTCCTGGGATATACAGTCAGATATTTCATCATCTAAGGTGGACAAATCCTTGTAAAGTTATGAAGTTGATACGTTTAAATTTGTAATGGTGTGCTGACGTACCCAGGACAACGTGGGTATTTAATTCATACACACCCTTTTGTGACCGCAGTTTTCTAAGAGGCCATTAACAGTTTTAGGTTTGATCCTCCAATTTTGATGTAGATAAAAATAAACAAATCACTTTCTAATGAAGACGTAATCACGGGGTCAGATCTTGAAACGTATAGTGTTTACTTGATTTACCAACAGTTTTCTCAAGTTTTGAATTTCCCACCAAACCTATCTACTTGGAGCTGCTCTCGCTAATCATGTTGCCTGTGGGATGTAGGACGGTCCATCAATTCGCCAGTAACCATATGGCGGCTCGGCCTGCCATGACAGAATCATGATAGGTTCAAGGTTACGTCACGGCGGTACTCCTACGCCGCTCTTTCTACTCGCTTTTCCCACATCCCATCCTTGAGAAGGATGGGCTACGTCTTGGAAGTGTACAAAAAAAAAAAGAAAAACATTACTCAGATCATGCTATAAAATTACCGGACAGGTAGGATCTTCATAAAATATCCAGTTTGGAAAGGATACATAATTCTTAATCTTGCAAATTTTAGGCTTATTTTAATTTTATTAGGTTTTCTAACATTTTAGAAAGTACCTACAGTACTCTTTAGGTAATAACGCTATTAGATAAATCTAAAGTCCATCCATTACAATACAGTATGTGTCAACATTGTTACAATACGTCATACAAATTTGCAAAACAATACTTTTACACTATAGTTCTGAAATTTTTTGTAAGACCTTAGCAATAAATATCTTAATTTACTGAAAAATGCTGTAAATTTTTATTCTACTATAAACAACAATATTTCATAACGGCAAGGGTGTCAAAGATATTATATACTGTACTGTAGTAGGTTGTTTATTTATGCTGTGCACACTATAAGTTTTTTTTTTTCACACAAGTAACAGATTATGGATCCTTGCATTCAATCCTCAATTCCAGGTATAGCTGGGGAACTCAGCCGTCGTTGATCTTTGGGCTTTCAAAACATAGTCCTGGCTCTAAAACTAGCTGATCTTATTCTGTTAGTCAGTAACAAACTTGTCATCTCATCCATTCAACGCTCTAAACATCCTAGAGTTGGCGTCATTGAATGTGGTAATCTAGTATTCATTTTTTAAATACTTAATATCTAACGTTTGTGTTTTCAGGTACACCTCCTCTGACTGGGGCTGGGACTGTCCATGTAGTTGTTCAGGACGTCAACGACCACAGTCCGGAGTTTGAGCGGCAGGTCTACTCTGTCTCGGTAGCGGAAAATCTTCCCTCGGGAACCTCTGTGCTACAGGCCCACGCTCAGGATAAGGATGCTGGCTTAAATGCTAAGATTAGGTAAATGGAAACCCTACTGAAATTTCACTTGTCAAGGTTGCTTTACGAATGAAAAAAAAAATTCCAGCATAACTTTAGTGTAAAAGAAGATGAATTGAATATGTTGCATGAGGGAATTTTGCATCTTGTGTGATCAGCATATCTAAATAAATTTAAATAAACTCAAGGGTTTATGCCGCTTTTCCAAGAAAGTGTTTGTGATTACGTCATTACAAATGCCACTGACGTTTGCTCTTAAAAGATATGTATAAAAAATGAAGCACCAATTCAGTTACACGTCAGTTTTTCTCATGCAAAAAATACACTTTTTGTAAAAAAAGTATCAAGTAATGTTTTTCTACAGTTTTCACTATTAAATATTAATCAACATTTGTGCTCTTTCATAAACATCTTTCTCACACATGATTGCAAAACGTCCTTTCGCTTTCATAACCTTTAATTTATCCACAACGGGAAGAAAAATGCATACAACTGGATACATAAACATGTCAACACTTGCAGTTGCAATGCGCATGATGCGTGGGCTGTGAGAAAGCCAACTCAAATGACCTTATGCCTGCATTACTCTTGCTCTGGTACTGGGTAGGAGACCTTGGAGTTTACATCTTAATTGCTTTATGGGCTATTGATTAGTTTCGACTTAGACGAGTTTATGATTTATACATTATGAAAGTTGTCAAGTAAATCAGGTTGATGGTTTATGATGCAATTGTGGCTAAAAATTATGTCTTATATACTAATAGATAGGTATCAGATTTATTAGCAACATCCCTATACAATGACTGGAAAAGTTGTTCTACCTCAATTCAAACAAAATTTTCAATTGATGAAGTTGGCATAGTGCATTGAGAAGCTTTATTTGGCTCTTGATCGGCTTTGTTGGTTAGCTATTTCCGGACAACATTTCATAACACAACAAATTGAAGGGATCCGTTTATTTATATTTAGTCGAGACAAAATATTATATAAACCTTTTTTTAATATTGCTACACAATTAGATACGATACAGTTACTGTTTTTATGAATCTATTTTAGACCTACCTCACCTGGAAACAATACTCAATTCAATACAGTCAAAGAAACCAAATATCCACAAATTTGAGAAAGTTCAGTTAAATGATAAAAGTATATTTCAAACTTCCATATCAGAAAACTAGAGCAAAACCAGACAGTTAGTGGTTATCCAGTTAGCTGAACTGTTCTGAAATGTCCCCTTATCAAATAAGTAATAGACACTAAATAATCACACAATTCAAATGCAAATGGAACAAGCTGAGATAGAGAGTGTGCATTGAGCAACAAAACCAGTTAGGCCTAATATGAGTATCTGTAGAGACTAAGGTCATCTAGCACCAGACACTGCAGTGACTGAGTAGATAAATGACTCTGGGTTCTGGGCTACTGAATAATGTACTTGTGTTCAACTAGAGTGCTGATTAAATGACTTAAAGTGGAAACAATAATGCATATTGTTGACATATGACTGGGGTCAAGCAAGGGTCAATCCCTGTAGTACATCCCCCCCACCCTTGAAGTGCACATTTGTAAGCTTTTCTGTTTTCTTGATAAAATCACAGAGAAAATGCTGAACAGTTTGATGTTTCCATTAGTAACAGGCTTATTGATTGACAAGATGAATGTTTTGGGTAATCTTAAAGAGGATTGTTTTTAATAGCTTATTAAAATAATAATGGACTTATAAATAGATGTGATAATTGACACTTTTTAATAATTCAAACTAATTTAAACTGCTAAATTTACATAAGTACTTTATACTTTTGTACTTTCTTATGAAATGGCGACCATACGAATGTAGGTATTTTAAGAGGATACATACAGCTATTACATCTCTTAAGGAACGTTTATTAACCCATTTACCCACTGAACAAGGCAATAAAAAGTGTGATATCCCTGAAAGAAAACGGTACAAATAGTGATTAGTACAAATAGTAAAAAATAAAATTCCGTAAAATAAGTTTGACATGAGACAAAATTTTATGTAATCTTTCAACAGGATTTTGGGTTATTTATATATGTATCTGAGTTGTTAAGGCACTGATCTTTGAATATGAAGATTCCTGATTATATCCTGAGAAAAATTGCTTCCATCAAAGTTTTTATCTGACATTTTGTCAATTAATGAACTACCCAACAGTCGTAAAATATTAGCTTCTCAAAAATGACTTTAAGTCCTAGAACAAGATTGTTTAGATAACGAAACCTTATTTCCCCCCAAGTCATACAACTAATGCATCATTCTTGTCCACAGATACAGTCTACTTGGGGAGAACATGGAGAGGTTTTCAGTGGACAGCGACTCTGGTCTCGTAACAACCACAGTATCCCTGGACCGGGAGGAAGTCGGAGTTTACTACCTCACCTTAGTAGCACAAGACTGTAGTGTCACTGAGCCACGAGCCACGGCTGTCAACCTCACAGTCACTGTCACTGACGATAACGACAACGCTCCACAGTTCGCCTCGGCAGGCTACACCGTGCATATTCCTGACCGCACCATGCCTGGTAAGTGCGACAGCAACCTGGTTGGTTTGGGCTAAACATTCGATTTTTAGAGTTAAAGAACAAGAATGAGGAATGTTTTTGGAGCTGTAAAAAGAAAATTTCACTTATAATGTGAGGTGGTTTCCAAAATTTATGCTGCAATTTATTCACCGTTTTATGTCAATGTTTTAACATAAAGTTTGTGTTTAAACAAAAAATAAAACTACAGTTATATGATCTTGAGGAATGGTTTGTTTTCTTTTACTTGGTACCCAAACATTTTCAGAGACATACGTACTGGTAATTTTTTGATTGCTGTCTCTAAGATGTAATGTATAGGCATCCCTTACAATGGTCCTTACAAAGACTTCTTGGTTGTCTAAACTATATAACTTTTTCTTTCTTTAGTTAATTGTTCTGTCTTAACTGCATTGTTACTCTACAAGTACATTTTCTGTTCTAGGTCAATTTGTTTTTGGCGCTAAGGCTGTGGATGAAGATGATGGTGAGAACAGACACATCGTCTATTTCTTGAGTGGAGAGGACGTCTCCAAGTTTACCATCAACAAAGAGACAGGAGTTATCAAAGCTGCTCAGGAGCTGCGGTTAGAAGACAACAGAGGAGGAGACGACACAGTATATAGGCTACAGATACAAGCGACCGACAGAGGGAAAGAAGTTAAGTCTGCAACTGCAGAGTTGGTTGTCAAACTGTGGCCCAGACATCTGTTCCCAGTCATCACAGCGCCGAAAGAAACAAAGTTCACCTTGTCTGAAGACGTCGCTGCTGGCAGAGTGATTACCAAACTGACCGCCTCTTCTCCAAAGCTGGGTGCTGTGGGTGGTGTCAGATTCGCCATAGCGGGAGGTAACATTGGAGATGCTTTGAGAATGGATGCAAACACTGGCGAAGTGTTGGTTTCAGGAGGTGGCTTAGACTATGAAACAGCCCCGCAGTACGAAGTGTGGGTAGAAGCGAGAGATTCTGACAATCCTCCCCTGAGAACGGTGCTGCAGCTCATCATCAATGTAACTGATGCCAACGATAACCCTCCGGTGTTTGAATCTAGTCTGTACAACCCCACTATATTGGAAGAAGAACCTCCTCCACAAAAAGTTGTAAGAGTAAGAGCGACTGATGCGGACTCTGGGGTGAACGGTAAAGTCACTTACAGGTTGAGTGATGATGGAGAAGGAGCTTTTACTCTGGACTCAGAAACTGGTGATATTTTTACAAATTATCGTTTGGACAGAGAGACAATCTCAAGCTACCTTTTGACAGTCGAAGTACTAGACCAAGGAGTGCCTCAAATGACTGGAACCACCACAGTTCTTGTCACAGTTCTAGACAAAAATGATAACCCTCCGAGATTTACTAGGTTGTTTAGTGTAAATGTGACTGAAAATGCTGAACCTGGTGCTTTTGTCATTCGTGTCACAAGCTCAGATCTTGATATTGGAGAAAATGCAAACGCTACCTATAGCTTTACTGAAAACCCTGGGAGAAAGTTTGCCATTGATTCTAGCACTGGCAATGTGACTGTTGTTGGCCCTTTGGATAGAGAAACTCAAGATGAATATCTATTGAAAGTAGCAGCCGTAGATGGTTCTTGGAGAGCTGAAACTCCGCTTACAATCACTATTCAAGATCAAAACGACAATGCGCCTGAATTTGAAGAATCTTACTACAGCTTTAATTTCCCAGAGCTTCAAAGAAATGTAGTGTTTGTAGGTCAGGTTATAGCTACTGACAGAGACAAACAAGGACCCAACTCTGTGATTTCTTACTCCTTGAAACATCCGTCAGACTTGTTTACAATTGATCCTGCGAGTGGAGAGCTGTTTTCCAAGAGAGCTCTCAGGTACAAATACACAGCTTTAGACTCTTCACCAGAAAACCAATATCCACTCACAGTCCTGGCCACAGACAACGGTAAACCTCCAATGTCTTCTGAATGCCTGGTTACTATCAACGTGGTAGATGCCAACAACAACGCCCCTAAGTTCGAGAAGAGAGAGTATTTCACCCCGGTGCTCGAAAGTGCTTATGTCGGCCAAGATATATTACAAGTGGAAGCTAAGGACGACTTGGACTTTGGCATAAATGCTGAGATCGAATACATTAAAATCGGTGGTAACGGAACTGAATTGTTCAAAGTTGACAAAATGACGGGATGGATAACGTTGGCAAAATCTCTTGAAGGAGGTGAGAGGGTGCTGAAGCAGTACAATGTAATTGTCCGAGCTGTTGATCACGGCGTTCCTCCTCAGCAAGATCAAGTCACCGTCAGTCTCGTAGTGACGGGGGAGAACAGATACAGTCCAGTGTTCACAGCACTGAGCTACCAAGTGATAGTGCCAGAGAACGAACCTATCGGCTCAACAATCGTGACTGTAGCAGCTGCGGACAGTGACGAAGGTCCAAACGGAATGGTGCGATACTCGATATCTGGAGGAAACGCCAACAAAGATTTTCAAGTTCACCCTATAACAGGAGCAGTTACCATTTTGAAACCATTAGATTACGATACAATTCACGAGTACAAACTTAACATTACAGCAACAGATCTAGGATTCAAGCCGCATCAGACAAAAGCCATGCTCACTGTGATACTGACTGATATAAATGACAACGCTCCTCAGTTCAATCAGTCTACATACCAAGCTTATATTGCCGAAAATTCACCACCGAAAACATTTGTATACAACGTTTCAGCTGAAGATGTAGATTCCCCAAAGAATGCCATTATACAGTATTCTATTGTTGGAGGATCTGGGAAAGACGTGTTTAGTATTGAATTAAAAACAGGTGCCATATATTCGAGAGCTAAATTTGATTTTGAAGAGAGAAGTACGTATACGCTTGACATTTTAGCTGTAAATCCAGATTCTCCTATGTACGGGTCAACAAAAGTTATAGTTCACGTAACAGGTGTAAATGAATACTATCCTCGATTTGTACAGCCAGTGTTCCACTTTGATGTATCCGAATCAGCTGAAGTAGGCACAAGTGTGGGAATGATACAAGCAACAGATCAAGACGCTGGGGACGATGGAAAAGTATACTATCTTCTTGTTGGCTCTAGTAATGATAGAGGATTCTCAATCACCCCAGAATCAGGAGTTATATCAGTGTCTCGAAGATTAGACAGAGAAACTCAAAACAGAGTAGTGCTCACTGTTATGGCCAAAAACAGTGGAGGGATTCGAGGGAATGACACTGATGAAGCTCAAATCATCGTGTCCATCCAAGATGGCAACGATCCACCAGAGTTTGTTGAAGAACTGTACGAAGTGGAGGTCTCTGAAGGAGTGCAAATCGGAACAAAAGTTATTTCAGTTCAAGCAGTGGACAAAGACGTTCGCCCACAGAACAATCAGTTTAGCTACTCTATCATAAATGGTAACACCGATAAAGCCTTCAAAATTGATCCTCAAACTGGAATGATTGAAAATACCCTTCAGCTGGATCGAGAGGTGATTCCCATTTACACATTGATCATCGGTGCTATCGACACTGGCTCTCCCCCAGAGACTGGCACGACAGAGGTGCGTATCACGGTGCTGGATATCAATGACAACGGACCAATATTTGATCCGCCCAACGTGGTGGGATATGTGACTGAAAATGAACCAGCAAACACCAGTGTCATGAAGCTTACTGCCATCGATCCAGATCTGCCACCTAATGGAGCACCTTTCACCTACAGACTGGTGGGAGGCAAACATCGTGACCTTGTTACTATTGAGCCGAACACTGGGATTGTAAAAACCACTGAAATGATTGACCGAGAGATGACACCTCAGCTGGATATTTTGGTGAGTTGTAATTTTGATTATTATGTGTAGTTAGTTTTGTTATAATTTATATTTTGATTTAAACAAATTGTAATTAGTTAATTTGTATTCTAATTCTTAACACCTAACTAATGAAGTACAAGGCATAGTCTGAAGTTCATAGTAAATTGTTTAAATGGAAGAAAAATTAAGTTTTATCATAAACATTTTTGTTTTAGAAAACAACTAACACTAAAACTAATAAACCTGTGTTTGTAAAATTAAGAATTTAATTTCTAACCAACGTAAATTGTATGTTTAGGTGGAAGTGGAAGACAGTGGCGAGCCAAGGATGAGATCACAGCATCCAGTAACCATCACAGTGCTGGACCAGAACGACAGTCCTTCGTCTCCAAGAGCAGTCCATGTGTTGGTTCACACATTCAATGATGCATTTCCTATTGGCAAGATTGGTGATGTACATCCCAATGATCCTGACACGTCTGGAGAATACCAGTGCAAGTTGATCAGCAACCCAGTCACAAGAGGCATCTTCAGCATCCCCTCTGGATGCAGTCTGCACACTTCCAGAGTCGCTATGGGCCCAGGATTCTCACTAAGCATATCTGGCAACGACGGAAGGCACCCAGATGTTGTGTCCATGATTTCCATAGAATTCCTTTCTTTTGATAATGCCACTGTTGAAAACAGCATCACCATTCGTATAGAAAACACAACTTCTCACAAATTTTTAACCAACTACTACAAAGGGTTCGTAGACTTGCTGAAATCGACTTTTGATGTTGGTGATTCTCCGTATTTATACAGTATGCAAGAGAGAGACAATGGCTTAGAACTCGCAGTGGCTGTGAAAGGTGCTAAGGGATATCGGAATAAGGCACATGTAACGGATGTACTCTCAAGAAAACACGATGTGATACAACAATTGGTGCAGTCTTCTTTCATCTCCGTGGGATATTCTCCATGTCAAAATCCAATTTGCGAGAACGGTGGTATATGCAGTGATGGCATCAGTGTTTACGAAGATACAAGAATTACCGACAGCCAAACTTTAATATTTACATCCCCACTTGTCAGCCACGATTTTGTATGCAGGTGTGCTGAGAGTTTCACTGGAAAGCGTTGTGAACGAAGGCAGGATCCTTGTTCACCCAATCCCTGCCAATCTGGAGGCTCTTGTAGAAGACAAGGATTTGATTTCCAATGCATCTGTCCACCGATGCGAGAGGGCCGATTTTGTGAAGCTGAGAAAAGTGATATTTGCAACAACAATCCTTGTAAAAATGGCGGCTCCTGCAGAGAGAGTCCTGATGGTTCTAGTTTCTTCTGTCTTTGCCGACCCGGCTTCCGTGGTAATCAGTGTGAAACGATTGCTGATTCTTGTCGCCCCAACCCGTGCCTCAATGGCGGATTGTGTATCAGCCTCAAGCCAGGTTATAGATGTAGCTGCCCAGACTCAAGACACGGGAGACACTGTGAGAAATCTACATATGGCTTCAAGGAACTGTCCTTCATGACTTTCCAGCCATTGGATGCAAGCACCAACGATATTTCGATGATCTTCTCTACAACCAAACCAGATTCTCTTCTCATTTACAACTTTGGAGCACAGACAGGAGGAAGATCAGACTTTGTGGCCTTGGAACTAGTGGGTGGAAGAGCAGTGTTCTCATATGGAGGAGCCAGGACCGCAATCACATCTGTAGCAGTCAGTGGAGACAAACATTCATTGGCCAATGGAGAGTGGCATAAAGTGACAGCAACCAGGAACGGAAGAACCATCTCACTGAGCATCGGGACTTGCACTGACAACGGAGATCTCTGTCAGGAGTGTAAACCAGGAGATTCTAACTGCTACGCCAACGAAATAGGACCAGCAGGGTAAGTTTGAAGCTGAATTACATAAACATTTTTGATAAATAGAAATAAGCTGCAAATATTATATTCTGGTATTTTTTTAATGAGTTGCAACTTCAAATATCTGATAAAACATCAAAACAATGCTCTTCCAACAACATACATGCATGGATTATAATAATACTGTAACTGTACTCAAGACATAAGGCCTGTTTTAATGTGCTAAGGACCATACAAAACAAAACTCTAATCTTATCCATTCAAAGCATATAAATTGTCAATAAACGTGTAAAGCAAGCTATAATAGAAACCTCTATATTTAAACATTAAACATTCTACCAACAAAGCAAACAGCTTTATTTAAAGATACTTGAAATCAGAATCTTTTGCAATGAGTTCTAATACCTTGGTATGATTCTAGGACACTCAACTTCAACAATCATCCGATGTATGTAGGAGGTCTGATGACAGCTGATCCCATACTAGAACGCCCGGGACAAGTTCACTCTGACGACTTTGTGGGATGTGTACACAGTGTCGCAATCAACGGCAGACCCCTCAACCTGACCAATCCACTAAAGTCCCGCGGGATAGACTCGACATGCAGCAGGTCGTCGAGGTCGTTGTGTTCTGGAATAGCTTCCAACTTGATCCCAGACAGCAGCGAATTGGCTTCTCCGATACAACTACCGATCTGCGGACTTTATGGAACTTGCTATGACCGATGGAACTCCATTTCCTGCGTTTGCGAAGGATCTACCCTCGTCTCCCCAAATTGTAACGAAGCCATTGAGCCCATCACGTTGACCGATGGAGGGTTCGTAGAGTTCAAAGTTTCGGAAACTCATCGGAGAATGCAGCTGCTGGATACAATCTACAAGGGGTCTACACTCTGGCTGCCTCGCAATGAGAGACTGAAGAGGTCCATCAACTCTCCTGCGTCCCTCCAGCCAACCAAGAGTCTCAGTGTTATGTTCAGGACAGTACGCAGGGACGGTGTTATCATCTTCTCAGCCACTAACAGAGACTTTACATCTGTGGAGGTGAGTAAAATTGTAACACACTACTTGAATACAGGTTACTGACACAACAAACAGTCAAACATACATCTTAAGATTTGTTTACACTTGTTTGCTTACAAGAGGATATACCATAGGTCTAGTCACTTTTGAATTAAAGGAATAGTTTTTTTTTAATGATTAACTATTTCTCATATAACTCTTCCAGCTTAATAGTCCTCTACTGCAGAGAGGTAATGTAAAAATTCTCAAAGATATAACAAATTTCTTGTTTAAATGTTGATAAAATATAGTTTTTACAAAGCGCAAGATAATGTAAAAGTAATTTAAAAACAACAAATAAGCCAAACAACTTGTGTTTGATTCAACTCATTTGTCTTTACGTTCTGTTTAATATCCTGCTCATCACACTAGTGTAGATAACCTTCCTAACTCCTAATGATTGTTTGCAGCTGGTGGGAGGTCAGCTGGTGTACGTATCACAACTGGGCTCAGCTGGTTCGTTGGTCAACATGACTTTCGGAGAGAGAGGTGAAGTGTCCGATAACCAGTGGCACAATCTGACGCTAGTCTCTCAACACCGAGGGGGAGGGGTGGCCGTGTTGTTGGATGGTCGGAGGGTGGGGGAAGAGCTAGACACGGCTGGAGTACATGACTTCCTAGACCCTTACCTGACTGACCTGTACCTCGGGGGTGTGCGGAGGGACGTTTTTCCTGCACAGGACTCTGTCCCCATCAGTGAGTATTAAAAAAAACCATTAGTATTTTTTAGTGACTATTTAAAATGATTTTTCTTTTCTATTTATATGAGTACAGAGTACAGTAGCTCAGTGATTATAAGCTGGTTTGCAACCATCCATCTACTCATCTACATTGCAGTCATCACTGGCTTGCATATACGGCAGGACCATTGCACACACTAGTATATAGTGACTGGCAGTTTAGGTTAAAAAAATACTGTAAAAGAAGAAGATTCAACACTTTAAAATAGAAACAATTAATTATGATTATGTGTTTATTGTTTTTCAAGTAAAGCAAATACCAGAAACCTCTTATAACACTTAAAACATATATTTACGCTTGTACTGTTACTCACAAGACGGTAAATATAAAAAAGATGGTAAGTGGTTTTTTTCAAGCTACATAATGTTGGGAAAAGATCCTATTCTTGAAAACTTAGAATGTTCAAAAATGGCCAGATTGATTGAAATTATATTGTGAACATTTTATAAGATTTATATTAAACCTTAAAAAGTTTAATATAATTTTACTCTTCTGGTTTATTTGCTATGAAATAAAAAAATAAACATTGTTTTATCTATAAAAACATTCAATTTCTGCTAACATTTGAGCACATTTAAAAGTATAAATGTTAATCATTAACAACCCTTTACAGGTTTTTCCGGATGCCTTGCCAACTTCACAATCAACAATGAAATCCAACCGATGAACGGCTCTGGAAGTGTGTTCTTCGAGACTGTTCACTACGGCAAGGTCCTGATCGGATGTTCTGGGCCCATTGGAGTCGGAGCAGCAGCCTCTACCGACCCTCTCTCGATCGGCATCTCTCTGGTGCTCGTCTTCTTCGTGATCCTCCTAGTGGCCATCCTCGTGAGCTTCGTTGTGTTCCGGTTGCGAAAGCAGAAGAAGGAGAAGAGCGGTGGTGGAGTAGTTCACCCGAAGCAGAATGGTGGTGCGACCATGGTTGCTGGGGCGGTCAATGATGCTCGTTCTGGTCTACACCCCGAGTCTACCGTGCCTAGCTTTATGACTGACAACGGAGATGTCATCAGGGGAGTGGGAGGTCACCATTTGGTCGGACCTGAGCTCATATCTAAAAGGTAATATACTACCTTTCAGCAAGGATAGTATTTAGGGACTAACCGAGAGTGGAAATGTATCAACATTTACAGCATATTTGATACACTTTAAATTAAATTTTAATTAATATTAAAATTAACGTTTTGCAATCATTATTAAATAAGATTCCTCAGATGTTTAAGTGTGGTCATAGATACTGGTTGGTAGCTGAGTGGTCAAAGTACTTGCTGGTCAAAAGGATGCCAAAGATTAGTTTCAACTGTTTCTTAAACTAAACAATTAAAATACTTTTGACTATGGAACATCAAACATCAAAAACCAGGAACATAAATCAAAACGAAGGATTACAAGATAAACTGTGAAAACTTACCTATACCTCATATTACACAGTAATCAAGGCAAACGTCACACTCAATGAGCTAGTAAGTTAAATTATTTATGATTTCCACAGATACAAAGACCAGGACACGGTCAGTAGTGAGCACCAGCGACCACAGAGGCCAGACATCATAGAGAGGGAAGTGGTGGGAAAGTCTCCCCCCCCTAGAGACGAACACCATCCCCCTCTCCCCCACCACCCTCACGACCAGCCGTCCGTGGTGGGCGTGGACTCTGAGATGCCGGAGCACTACGACCTAGAGAACGCCAGCTCCATCGCTCCGTCAGACATTGATATAGTTTACCATTACAAAGGTACGGACGCTAATCAATACATTAAAATGTGTATTTTTCCCCTATGCTATTGTACTTAGAAAAACAATCATACAGACTTTGAGATAGGTGCACTTATGTACAACTGCAAAATGATAGCATTTCACATGCAACATGACGATTATATTCACAGAGTTACAGTTATCATGTTTTAAAGTGGTTTCACACCAATAGCTTTAGTTTGGATCAAGGTTTATGTTAAGAGCTTGCGTACAAATTCAAAATCCAAAACATTTTTATTTTCCTTACCTTTACATGCATACAAAAACAGTGTCAAATAGCAGTAAACTAGTCTAGGTATATACATTTTAAGTACCAAACTTTTATTAATTTTATAAGGCGCCTTTCCTATTAAATATATTGTAAATTTAGCTTTAAATGATTTAAAATTTGATTCATCCTTTATAGAGAGAGGTATGCAATTTCCTAAGAATAAGAATTAATGATCCGGCAAAAGTTGTTTTTTTTTTTAGACAATTCCAACTCGGAAAAAGGATTGAAGTTACAATATCCTTTTTGTGTCGAACTGGGTTGCACAATCGGCTCATATTTTATACTGTCTTTTAGCTATTTAAAAAATATAAGCTGCCAAAACTGAAAAATATTTAGATTTTTTAAGTGAAATTCTTTAAAAGATTTTAAAACTTTGAGGTATGATACAAAGCAAGTTGATATTATTACTTTGTGATGTTTAAAAATAATTTTAAGTTTTATATCAAATACACATTAAATTGTTACAGTACCTACAAAATCTTAGGGGTGACGTTTATTTTCAAAACAGTAAGCAGGTATCTCAGCACATCTGTCTCAAAAGCTTCCAATTTCTATGTCAGACTGATGGAACTAAAATTCATCCCACAATTTTCACCCTTAAATTTAATCACACTCCTGTAATTATGATTGAAACTAAACTCATTCAATAACGTACCAGCTGATATGTGACAATGCGCACAAATGACACAACCAAAATCACAACATTAAAAACAACTCTTAATTTCAGGTTACCGAGAAGGTGCAAACCTGCGAAAGTACAAGGCAACTCCTCCCCACCTGCCTCCTGGAGCGCCCTACCACAAGCACCAAGGGGCGCAGCAGCATCGGCACTCGCCCCACCACTTCCCACCGCGGGACAGTCCTCGCTCTGTCCCTCCCCCGCCTGTGTCCAGGGTGGACTCTCCCAACAAGATCATACAACACCAGAGTACACCACTGGCAAGGCTCAGTCCCAGTAGTGAGCTGTCCCAACAGATGCCTAGGATACTTACGTTACAGGTAACAATCAACTGAACACTCAAACTTTTTTCCCAAATCCTAATTCTATTTTTAATGGTGATTAAAAAATTTAAATGATTTTCTGTCGGTGACATAGATTTTTATCATTGTAAGTGTTGTATTGTTTTATTGGTATCTTTTCCTGTTGTTTAGGAAATAAATTACATTCACTAAGATGCATAGTTACTGTTTTACTGCAGATCTAATACAACATTCAGTGGTGTAATGAGGCGAGAACTTGTGGGAACGTGTTCTCACTTGCTTTTTACGATAATCTTATATATTAAGCAACCTATTTGTGCTGTTCGGTTACAAAATGTCTTTAAAGCAAAAAATCAGTGAGCATTTTGGATACCACAATGTAAGGGATAGAACGGATAAGGGAGGCATTTTAGTCCTAGATCACCTGATGTCAGTCAGTTCTTCAACGAAGGTAAGCTTTCCCACCCTGGAAAATTTACATCTACTCCCCTGGTTATCTCAAAGCTATTAGTTTAATCATTAAATTAAATTATAGAATTATAAGTGTTGTTATTTTTGCAGGACATCAGTGGGAAGCCGTTACAGTCTGCTCTGCTAGCCACAACGTCGTCATCTGGCGGGGTTGGGAAGGACGTGCTACACAGCAATAGCGAGCGGAGTCTCAACTCCCCTGTCATGAGCCAGCTGAGTGGACAGAGCTCATCAGCTGGTCGAAAGACACCAGGGACAGGTCCTGACGTGTCCAACGGCACCATCGCCATGGGCCTGACAGCTGAGGAGATCAACAGGCTCAACTCGCGTCCTCGCACGTCCAGTCTCGTCAGCACACTGGACGCAGTGTCGAGCTCTAGTGGCCGAGGAGGCAACCAAGCCACAACCGCACACCATTTACACCACGGGGCCGTCAACGGTGGGGACAACCACAGTTCTACGTCGACCGACGAGAGCGGCAACGATTCCTTCACCTGCAGTGAGATAGAGTATGACAACGGCAGTGTCACTGGCGACAAGTTGAGTGACGTAATATTTACCAAACTCAGTGCGGACGAAGAGACTAGAGGGAGGAGTGGGGATAACGGAACGCCCAATAAGCCACCCCCACCCCCCGCGTCGTATGACGGGTTTGACTCATCCTTCAGAGGGTCGTTAAGCACATTAGTGGCTTCGGACGACGACCTGTCTCATGTTGGAGGGCCGCTGTATCGACCCAACAACGGCTCGCCCTCCGCGATACCTGCAGCCTTGGGCTGGGACTATTTATTAAATTGGGGACCGAACTTTGAGAGTTTAGTGGGTGTGTTCAAAGACATTGCGGAACTTCCGGATTCTGTTAACGGAAGAGTTCCCTCCTCGCTGAGGTTGCCCAACGGTGCGGCAAAACCATCCGAAGAATACGTCTAATATTAGAGTAAGTTTGTCAGTACAATACGTGATAGATATAATGTGTACATTTTTATAACGAAGACTGTAAATTGTAAATTCTTCGAATGTGAATTTACCTGTAGTATTAATGAAGTATAATTAATTAATTTTGTTCAAATTGTACCCGTTTCTGATTTAAACGGTCAGGGAATAAATAGTAACTAGTTTTGACCAATTTCCGTTGTTGCCATTTTGGTATTGTCGTACTTGTACAGTACACCTCCCGAGTGACGCTTATGTAATTGCCATGTGTATACATTTATATCCTCTAGTGTAAATGAACCGTTTGTAGAGAAATTATGCTCAAAGAAACTACGAGAAACGATATATACGCCATATATGTAATGTAAATTGTATTGTATTCAACGAGTATTATTGTAAATTAATTTTATAGATCGACTGTATATATTTGTTAAAATACCTATTTAAGTATGTATGAATGTGAAATGCTGTACGGTCGGTTAACATCTTAGCCATACGCAGTAGTGCCAAATATCTGTTGTTTTACCTTACAATGTGTGATTGTTGCTGACTGAGGTACGTTTGTAATAAAAAATTATTGATCATAAATTATTTTCTGTTATTTCTAACCCTTTTTTCATTTCCATTGTTTTTAGTTGTCTTTAGACTTTTTTAATAGTTTTACTACAACCTTACACTGTACTAACCCTACAATAGGTACATCTCCATAATTAATTACTATTCTTTGCAACTGCAACCAACACCTACAAATTCAACACAGAATCAAGTTTATTTTTTTCCTCAGTAAACTTATTTGAACCCTAGAACTCATTATATGTTTTAAAAAAATTGTAGTCTTTGGCCAATTTAGTATATTGCATGTTTCCAATATAAACTAAAAAAAAAAAAAAACTGTTTAGCCTCTGCGCAAGCATTGACTATAAGTCAATGATACTATTAAAGTAGGACTAGATAGCATGAGTGCTCTCAAAAATAGTTCTGCTTTGTTTAATAACTCAAGTCTAAAATTATTGCTCAGTGGAATTCTGTATTTACTTTATTCTCAGGAGTCCCACACTAAAGGTTGATGCTCAGAATAATAATAATGAGACGTAGGAATTGGCTAACTCAGGAACTCGCTAACTCGGTCGTGTGTCGGAACTGGCTAACTCTGGAACTGGCTAACCGTCTCAGTCAGGAATTGGCTAACTCCGGAACCCGCTAACTCGATTTTGTCTCGCGGCGGAATTCGCTAACTCTGGAAGTCGCTAACCCGGCCGCGCCCACTGCACGGAGCGTTGCCAACCTTGTACGACAAAATAATCGTACACTGCCGTATTTCAAAATGTCAGTGTCAATAAAAATACAGTAAATATTATTGTTTTTTGTTATCAATTCCACTTTTAACAGATAACTAGCCCAAAGTAATTCAAAGACAATTAAAAAATCATGAAAAAGTTTTTTTTTTTTTATTAAACTAATGCTAGTTAATAAAATGTTAGTTTTTTTTATTAATGGCCAGTTAAATGTTTATGATTCCGATCTTAAATATAAATGCCATCAGTATAAAAGAAAATAATAGAATATGAAAAATATTGAAATTTCAGTTTAATTGGTACCAAATAATTAAACCTCTACGAAACTAAGCTAAAATACACGCAAGTTCTTAAACACGGAAAACAGATTTATGTTACATGTTATAAAACCGTTTTTAGATTGTACACCTAAGCACCACTAGTAAAAAATAGTAAAAGATATAATATTCATATAATAAAACGTGACACGGTAATTTTAATTCACGATTCTTAATAAACGAATTGACGGATTTTCCTGATTTGAGTGTTGGGTTTCCTTTATATTGCTTTCACAATCGATATAAACTATACCAAGCCATTGCTCGGTTCACCGTTGCCCAGTACTGAGCTTCACAATAGACAATAGCTTTGTTTTTGAATAAGATTAAGTAATTTTAGCTATGACCACCAATTCATAGAATTGTAACAAACAAGAACGCCTGCATCCATTTAGAATCAGCCTAGAGAAAAACTCCAGACTTTTAAAAAGTAGGCCTACTGAAAGACGTAAAATTAATATTAATTCAACAAAATTAAGAGGATGACCCCGGTTCTACACTAATAGCCTACGATAAAAGAAATTTACAAGTTGTATTTATGCATAGACTAACTTTTATGCAATCCATGAATACATTAGGCCTACCACTTTATAATGTATTGATAAATATTTATTTAAATTCAATAGCTCTATTTAAAAATACATTACCACTACAATGTAATTCTTTAATTACGTTTAACGTGTAAATTTTATTATGATTTACGAGCTGGTGGCCCGTCCTACGTACGGGAATCGAGTTGTCAACTAAAACGGAATAATTCAGAACATCTAGTTTACACGCATAGACACAAATTCTGGCAATTTTAATGGGGAAGATTACCTTATAAACAAAAGTAACGTGACAACCTATTTATTCCATTCGAATAAAGACCTAAAATATGGCGATATGCATTTTAAATCCGATAATTTTACCATAAAACAGCATTTGTGTCGATTTGAAAAATATTGCAGTGAGATTGGCGACCGATTCACACTGGTTTTGAGTAGAGTAGCTACATGCTACCTCCAATTTATTGCATACTGTACTACTTATGTACTTACCGTACCTTATCTTACCTCCGTGACCACTGAAACCTTTATGAGGATTCTCTTCTATCACCTGCCTCTTCAAAATTTAGATCCCAGTCTGAGGATGCATTTCATAACTTGATATTCCTGTCTATCGTGTGGTACTCCTTGGAATATACTTTTTAAAAGTTTATGCACAGCCTGTCCATCCAATCTTTACTTACTTCTGGAAAGCATCCCTATATTTGGGTGTTAACACATTTCTCTTACCGGTAGCTCTCTGATCTTTTTTATTTCGACCTCCAGGCCGTTTTCTTGAACTGGTCTGTATATTTTCTCTGTACTTTATTATCTAACCCAGCATTAAGGTTTTTCGGTTCTTTGGTCAGTGCCCAAGTTTCTGAATCATCAGTACTACGGGGATAGTTGGTATGGTATGAGTCGACTTTGGTTTCTGCTGCACCCTGCAGTTTATTTGGCAGTTTTATAGAGACCTACTACACCGATTGACGCTTTCATTACTAACCAACATTTTAGTATGCCGACGTACTCACATTCAAACATACAGAAAAAGAAGTAGGTATCAACACGTAAACCACTTATATCTTAAATAATTAAGCAATAAACTGCTGAAAAGATGTTTCCCAAATACAGTATGAGTTGAAATTTGCAATGCATAAACTAAATACTTACACAGATTGCATTTACGACAAAACTTGAGTAAACGCAAGTGTTTGAGATGTTTAGTTCAAAATAACACATTTCCTGATAACGGAGATCCTTCACGGTAGGGGTAAACTATCTACATTTTAAAGTGAAATAGTATGTAGGCAAACACTAACGAACAATATTTTTGTAAACAAACAACTCGTAACATAAACATTTCAATGACAGTTATAAACCAGCTGTTAGTTAAACCACCATTGAAAATACTTTAAATTGCTAGCGTCGGCTGCTAGACTTTTTAAAAATTAAAACTTAATTTCTAAAAAACTGAAACCCTAAACTAAAATTATGGCTTCGACATTCCCTAGTTCTCAAAATTATCTTTCTTTCAACACAAAAATCATCAAAATCCGTCAAGTGGTTGATTCAGAATCGTGAAATAAAAAAACCCAGTTTCGTTTTAATATTATAGAATAGACGAGATGTTAGCCCGTCCTACGTACGGGAATTCAGTAGCCAGTTAAAACCGTGTACAATTCAGATCAGCTAGTTTACACATATAAAGACAAAGTTTCTTGCAGTTTTAATGTAAAAAATCATCTTGTAAACAAATGTTGTGTGACCAAATATGTTTTATTCCATCATAGGCCTATACGATATGCATTTTAAATCCGTTAATTTTAAAATAAAACAGCAATTCTGCAATTTTTACGATGTGAAAAGCGTTGAAGTGAGATTTGCAGCCGATTCGCACAGACGCACACTGATTATAAGTAGCATATTGTAGAGAGAGTAATAGTCAAAATTGAGAAGTGTATAGACCTAGTCAACGATACCACCTTCCATAGCGCATACCTGCCTCTTCCATAATTATTATCACCACAATACAACTACTATACACAATTTCCAGTAGGTCTGAATAGAAACGACCTAAAACAAAACGATAATATCCAATAAAATTCACAGTACACAAACTTTGGTGTCCTAACATCAAAACGAATCGTCACACCTATCCTTTATATGAATTTCACTGCATTAATTGATAAATAAATATGCGTAAACAAAGAAAAGTAAAAACAATAACAGTTTGTTTTGAAACAGCTGTTTGGTTCAAATAACATTCATTTGAAAATAAGAACTGGTCACATGTAGCAGGAATATAAAAAGTAATTACGCTAGTAAAGCTAATGACGTAATTGTCAATGTTTATTATCTATACCGTTTTCAGTTCTATTCTTGATAATTACACACCCTCATTGAAGAAATGTACATCTTAATTTCCCATATTAGTTAACTTAAACTACAATATATTCATAGTTGAAATACAAGTGATATTATTTTCACGTTTGGGGGCGCTGATATAGGTGCCCCCAAACGTAACCACAACTGAACACGATTTTAAGGATGGTTTGTCTAATTGCAGTATCCTAGGTCAATGTTGACGTTGTGTTCAATCTATGTCATCCATCTGTTTATCTTTGTATAAAACCCGGCTGAGGTTGTGGTCGTAATTTAAAATCGTGATTCCTGATTATTCTTGATCTTCTTTTTATGACATCAATATTTCCGGGCCTAATCCATACAAAGTTAAAGCAGACAAACATTAATTGTAAACAAAAAGCTACCATGAAAAATTAAAACATGTAAACATTGTTAGTCTATTTTTCTAATCTTTCCTTGAAAAGTGGAGCAGTAAAATAATTTGCATTTATCCTTTTTTATTAAGACTCGTGTACAGAGCCTCGATTTGTACTGTGGTTTAATTAATATTGGTTTAAACTGTGGTCTAATTATCTCTACTAATCTTACTTATTTCCTATAATCAATGACAAAAATAAAATAACCTCATAGTTCCATAGTTTATATTTAACCAGCTGTTAGTTAAAACAAATTATATTGCTCTAAAACAAATCGAAGATTACAAAGATTGCTTTAAAAAATAATTTGAACATCCTAGTATTTTACTATGTATATTTAATTAATCTGCCATCCTCTTACAGAAGAATTGAACGTATCAATGATTAGCATTACACATGGTATAAATAAGTCAATCCTAAGTATGTCTTTACATTTTTATCCAAATGCTGAATTTGTGACACAAAAGCTGAATGTTTACAGCTGTTATGTTAAGCAAATTATTTTATGCCAAAAGCTAGTTTAGAATCTTAGCGTCGGCTGCTAGACTTTTTAAAAATTAAAACTTAATTTCTAAAAAAACTGGGACCCTAAACTAAAATTATGGCTTCGACATTCCCTAGTTCTCAAAATTATCTTTCTTTCAACCCAAAAATCATGAAAATCCGTCGAGTGATTGATTCAGAATCGTGAAATAAAAAAACACACTTTCGTTTTAATATTATAGATGATTCAAGGTTACAAGCCCAGTATATAAAATACGAACTCAATAATTTTATCTGCAGAAATTTACAAAATGGTATTTATTCGAATAAAAGAAACAAATGGCGGACTACGAAAATAGATATTTCATAACATGTAATAGATCCAAATTAAATGTGCATTTTTATCTTTTTGCATACCAACAAGCTACTATCATAGATAAAACATACTCCCTTAGTAGATTTCTCATCCTAATGGATCAGCTGAAGACAGTTTTATTGTTAGTTCTGTCCGGTGCACTGTCTTTAGAGGTCGTGTTTTGTTTACAATTGTTTCTTGTTTTCAGTAATTTAAAACCTCGTTTAACCAAATAAAACGTTCTAATCAAAACTAATAACACGTCCCCTAGTTATATAACCAAACATTAAAAAACAAATCATGAAGTTAACTATAAAATAATAGAAACACACTTTTGTCGACACTAGCGATCAGTGTCACCGGACATGAACTAGACACGAAAAACGAGCTTCGAAGTTTACAATGGGATGTAAAGTTTACTTGTGTTGGTTAGTCTATGGTAAGACTATAATGCATTTTCCACAATAATAATCATAGGAATAATGTTAAACATACTTCTAAATATATTTATTTTATCGACTATGTTGCTCTTACTCCTAATAATCGTAGGATACGACATTATGGTACCGATACGATATAGGTACTACACTTTCGGCAACACTGGCAAAAAATATTCGTGTTTGGCTCCCATTGGACGGCTCGCGAGGCTTCTGATTGGGGGTTAAGCTGGGTTTTCCTAGACGCGGAGTCGGCCAGCGGAGAGCGGACAACGGAGAGCGGACTCAGCTTGTCTTAGGTAATTTAATGTTACTGTTTTCCTAGCAGCGGAGCGGAATGCCATGTTAATTTCAATTCCGCTCTCCGTTTTCCGCTCTCCGCTGGCCGACTCCGCGTCTAGGAAAACCCAGCTTTAGCGAGTTCCGCCGAGGGACCGAGTTAGCGACTTCCATGCCAGGACGGAATTCGCTAACCCGGCTCTAGAGTGGGTTAGCGGGTTCCGGAGTTAGCCAATTCCGAAACCGAACAAGTTAGCGAGTTCCTCTCATCGACCAAATTTGAAGATAGGGCGTTCAACATGGGGTTAGCGAGTTCCAGAGTTAGCCAATTCCGCGGACCCATAATAATCTGTAAAAAGCATGTCAATCTTTGCTCTATTTTAGAGATGTGGTAATTTATAACTAATTATGAAGAATTTAACAGTTATCACTGTCAATAATCAAATTAGAGACTGTTAAATATGTAACATCACATAAAACTGATTCATCATACACTTAATATGTGGAGACCACCAACATATATTTGGTTCTCAATTTGTGGTTGGCATTACTGAGGAAGGAAAAAAGTAGACAGCTGTGCTGTGTTGTTGGCCTTGGGAAACCCTCACAGCTAGAAACCAACACACTCAAGTGGAATGATGAAATAATTTCAGTACCAGACCAGTACTGTACTTTCCTTGTTGCACCATCGATACATTTAGGTAGGGTGTAAATTTATTCTTCAGATACAAACAGTTTATATACTTGCTTTAGGATAAAAGAGTTTTATTATGCATGTTATAATGAGTTTAAAGAGCTTAATTCAATCTGAGAGTTTCTTAAAAATTAACAGACAACAAAAAAAATTTTTTAGTATGAGTGTTTAGTTTCTTATTTTTATCATATAGGGTACTAAGCTGTTGGTAAGTTTATTAACATGTGTTAACTCCTATTATTATTGTCACACATAATGTTTTTTACCAACCACCACTACATTATTTACATATACTACATTAGGTGACATCTGCTAACCTACATGCATTATACAAAACTGTGCAATAACTTAATGGGTTGTGAGTTTATAATTCAAGATATTTATTTTATTTTGAGATTTTAGTGAATGTAAATAGTATTTAACATAATCCTGTAATCATCCTTTATTCATTATTACTGGTATCTATATATATAATACGCTTAGCCGATTTTTGTGAAAAGAACTCCTTCCTCATTTTTGGACCGATTTTGATGATTGAAGTGTAAACAAAAAATTGCCCTGATCTGTAGTTTTGCAAAGTTTTTTCCATTTTTTAGTTTGGTCAGGATCTTCCATCAATGTTGGGATTTCTCTCATAAGATTAACATGGGGGAATCTAAATAGTAACTAACCTACAAATTCAACACAGAATCAAGTTTATTTTTTTCCTCAGTAAACTTATTTGAACCCTAGAACTCATTATATGTTTTAAAAAAATCGTGGTCTTTGGCCAATTTAGTATATTGCATGTTTCCAATATAAACTAAAAAAAAAAAAAAAACTGTTTAGCCTCTGCGCAAGCATTGACTATAAGTCAATGATACTATTAAAGTAGGACTAGATAGCCTACTACTATTGGTGTTACATTGGTGTTATATTGGTTGTTACATTGGTGTTACAATGGTGTTAGCATTGGAAACTTTGTCTCCACTAATTTGAGAGAACGGCTGGGCGTAGAAACTTGGTAGAGGTGTCCAAAGAACAGTCTTGGTCTGTAGATGAGTTATCAAAAGAAAAACGAAGTAAATTCGCTTAGGGCTCTGCCCCAGAAGCCTTTAAAGATCCCTCCACAGATTTGTTTACATTTTGGTCATGTGAATAATACTTTTTAATAAAACAGCTGTTAATTTTAAAATTGTGTTTTAAACAACACACATTTATTGGGAGTTACTAAATTGTCTAGAAGAAGTACCGGTATTTGCAATGTTATTTTCTGATTTTAAAATTGATTTTCCTCTGTATCATTTGTGTTGCAATATAAAGTTCCATTACAAAATCAGTGGAAAATCCTTTTATCACAATAACTCCTAAAATTGTTTCTTTTTAGCGAATTTCCCATATAGGGAATAAGCTATTACCGTAGGTCTCATGGTAAGACCTAGACCCGGGACCGATTTACTTTTTCGTATTGAGGTCCCCAGAGGCCAAAAACACCATCCGTTCAAATTCATATATATATATATATATATATATATATACTATTTTCTTGCATTTTTAGGGCTACTAATATATTAAAATTAAAACATTTATAACAAAGTACCCTTTTAGTAATTATTTTATTTTTCATGACGACATGTTTCGGAACAGTCCATTGTCAAGTCATTTTTACCATAACCTCATTCTTTTCTCAATTTTAATAATTTTTATTAAAAAAGAATGAGGTTATGGTAAAAATTACTTGACAATGGACTTAGTTCCGAAACATGTCGTCATGAAAAATAAAATAATTACTAAAAGGGTACTTTGTTATATATGTTTTAATTTTATTATATATATATATATATATATATATATATATATATGTCCGTTAGCGCGATAACTCGAGCAAAATTGATCCGATTTTGATGAAATTTGGTACAAACGTGTAAACCTACATTTATTCGAACGAGTTCGCGAACCAGCATAATCGGACCATGGGATCAGGGGTTTATGGGGGGTTTTATGGGGTAAAAATGGGTTTTTCTCATTTTTGACCCTAAAAACTTTAAATTTCTAAATTTCTCTCTAGACCATTTTGAAGAGCTTAAAAAAAAATAATTTAGTATATTGAAGTTTTTTTTAATGTTCATTGACTACGGAGAAAATTAAAAAAATTGTAAATTTAAAATTCCCATGTTATTCTTATGGAGAATAAATAAACTGTTCTAGTTTGCTTGTTTATGGATATATTTTAATCAAATTTGGCAATTTGGCTTATTTCATACTAAGCTATGAATATTTAAACTAAAAAAAAAACACACCTCAACATCTTCCCCGTAGCAGCAAACCTAACTACTCACTAAAATTAATGTTATTTAAATAGGAAAAAAATCTGAAAATTTATAGGGAACATTTTAGTAGAAATCGAGCCGGGTAAATGGAAATTCGCTTAGTATGCAGGTTTGCTGCGACGGGGGTATTGAACTATCTTATATCTATTTTATGGGTTGGTGTCTGCCTTTTTCACACCTTTTCCCTGTATTTTATCATATTATTCTAGACAGATCATCATCATAGGTTCATAAGATTATTGTCTTACGGGCTTTCAATCATTGAAAATATCTTCAACTGTGTAATACAATACAAAATAATACATTTTTTCGAATGGGTAGCCTCCGGATTATTAAGATACAATTAAGTGGTTTAAATTATACCTGTAATGTCGATAATCCAATATGCCAATATATCCAATTGGATGATATTGGATTATCGACATTACAGGTATTTAAACCACTTAAAATAATACAAGTGCAGAAGGGCACGGTGCCCATTTGAGCCGTGTCTATATTTTGTTAAATTGATAGTGGTTTACAGCAACTGGATAAAACATTTTACAATATTTATGAAGAAATATGTGCATGATTTAGGTCATTAGCTGGAAAACTGCAATATACTGTAGACTTTTCAGAGCTAGGTTACTTCAAATTATTCATTAAGCTTAGTGAAAACATAATATAGATATACAAATAAGAACTTGAACTCTTAGAGAGCCTTTGAATTTTATTAGACTAACGAAAAGGGTTGTGCATGTTTACTAGCGCTACTCAGCAACAAAAACCATTTAATTTATCTCTAAAATATATATATTCTTAAAGTGCACTGAGCAGCAACCTAAAAAATCTATGTAACTTACCCATATAATATAGTTACAAAATGCTCAAACTGGCATTGTGACATTTATAATTCGGCTTATATTTCTCCAACAGAAAATTCATCTGCAGAAGAATTTTATTGTGCTCTTAATATGTCATTCGCATTATTTGTTGCCAATGAAGCTGCAAGACCATATAAATGAGGAGGCCCCTAACAGTTCAAGAATAAAAGCCAACTTCACTTCAAGTATATTCCACTACACCTAACATTCCGTAGTGAGATTATATTGACATCTTTATGTAACTGATAAGGCTGAGCCAACTAACTGGCATCCCCCATGTCAAGGAATTCCAGCTTTAACAGTAACACCACAACCAATTTCTCAAAACTATGCTAGAGGGTTTCTCATAACTGTGCTACACGTTATTAATTGGCACAGAAGTACGATATGAACTGACGCGACGTGACGAAGGAAAAACCAAACTTACACTAAAACTGATATACTTCTCTTTGAAGTTACAACGTGTCTTCCCAACAAACAGATTTTTTTTTCAAATAAAATCATAGATTAATCCACATTACACTGATGAAATCACGGAAGTGTTTAACTTCAAAAGATCCGCCAATACGATTTTAATACTATTTAAAGGTTCTTCCAAAGGAAGAGATACCAGATATTATACTAACAACTCCGATGACATACAGTATGGGAAATATTTTATTCATTGAATGATCAACCATATTTTGCTAACTAACGCAATTAATATCATTATTGGTTTTACACTTACTAATCAATGCTAAATGGTCAAAATATGTATAATTTCACTCAATTTATCGTAGTTAGATGAATTAGCGTAATCCTTGAAAGTAACCGCCGATTTCGACGGGTTTCACCTAGTTAAAATGAATTTTAAATGTCACATTTTACTAGTGTTAAATTAAATTATTGGTATCTAATATTCTCTAGGCTACACGCTTTTGAAAATCCTAGAAAATGACAAAACTTAATTTTTCAAATATCAATTTGTTGCACAACTTTTACATAGGCTATATATGAAACATAGCTTTGGTTACAGTTTATGCTACTTTTGAATAAATAAGTAGGCTTAATTTATTCTGATAAATGCAATTGATTTGTAGTTTGATGTACACATCTTTGACCCTCCTTTTTAAACTCTTTAATTGATGCCATAAAAATGAAATCAGTATACATTATAGGATGACATCACAGGTCATTTCAAGTTGGCTGTTTGAATAGTTTCAACAAATGTCAAATTAAATTTGTATACTGGTTACTGTTGAAATTAGATAGGGTTTTACTGTTTAGTACCTCAAGTCAAAAGTTTTGAAAACCTAGATTACGCTCAACCTCATTCTTATTTCTACTCTCATTCTTAATACAAGAAATTTTCAGTTGCCATATTATTTGGTAAATAACACAATCATAACAGATAAAAAAAATTATACTTTTAGAGACATAGATGCATGTATTTTCCTACCAGCTTTAGTCCTTCATATTGTAGACTGCAGCTAAAAGAAGAATGCTAGAGTCGGGACCACGTAAGTTTGCAGTTGGTGACAGCCAATCACAAGACAAGGCTAGTGCGACGTTGCCACATCGCACTAATAAAATATACTAAGCAATGTTTTCAAACCAGCTGGTATTATTAGATTTGGCAACACTGCACGGTTCTCATTGGTTCATTCAAACCCATATGGTAAATAGGCTCCTCCCTCAACTGCAAACTTATGTGGTCCCGACTCTAGATATATATTGTTGTAGTGTTTTGTTGGAAACAAACTTTGTTTATTCATGAGTGCATTACTCATTCAGTAACATTGATGGACTTAAAACTGATAGTGTTGGTGGACACAGGTGTATCTGAACTCTAAATGTGCACAAAAAATATTTTTTGCAAAAAAACTGTATGTGAACTATCCTCATAAGAAAACTCTTCACTTAGCATTTCCTATGCTTTTACTGGATTTTACACTTACTGTAATATATTCACACAAATTTTTTAAGTACAGTATAAACCCGCTAAACCAACCTCGGCTAGTCAGACTCATTGGTTAACAGACATCAGCATCGCCTATCATTGACAATGTTATCACAGTAATATCTTGACCATTTCCCACAATCATGGCAAAAATCTATACCCCTACGGTCATGAAAAAATTATCATCGTCTTTTCTTTGTTACCTGTGATTGTGGCCAACTCCCGAATATCCCCAGCAGTAACGGAGACATTATCATCGTCTACCACGATCGGTGAAATATTGAGCGTCTCTCATGGTCATAGAAACATTATCATCTTCCAAGATTGCGGCGAAATTCTGAATATCTGCTGCGGTAAACAAAAAAACATCATTGTCTAAATTGGATCCTGCCAAAATCCTGAAATACTTGGAAAATCCGACCCTTTCACTGTTTCGGCCATGGTCTCGGTCCAGTGGGTGGCGGATTAGTGACACTGTTCTGTAACAACATGTGTTAGAGGCTCCCTTAGCACATTTAGCTGGTAGTTTCACCATAAATCCCAGATCCTAGCAGTCTGACAGGAGTCGTAAATATTAAATTATTTAGCTAATGTTTAGGCCTACTGGAACTTATTGTTGAATAACAAGTAAGAATGACGATGAGGTTGAAGCCAAACCTAGTGTAAGTTACATAAATGTCAACAGCTAACATTTTTCAAATATTTTTACAGAGAGGGAAGAAAAAGTGAATGTCAAAATGCCACCATACAACATTATTATTGGGGAAGAAACTGCTGAAGATTTGATCAAATATAAACTTGATTTACAAACAAACAAGAAAACAGCTGGTAATTACTTGAAAAATCAACTAAGCAAATTGCCAAAGAAAGAGCAGTCACTAGGTGAAGTAACCGTTGGCGAATTTTTGCAAATGTTGTTGTTAACGAAGAAATACAAGTGTTTTGCAGATTCGGAAGTTAGAGGGGACGGATCAGACTGGAATAGGACAGAGTTCAGTATCCTTGGTGAAATATCGGTTACGATGGAAGTCCAGGTTTATGACAATGGGGTGTGGAAAGTCAACGACAAAGCATTCAAAGTCCATAACTCTCCAATCACAGCTCACCTTCTGTATACCCCGGGTCCTCTCTTGGGTGGGAGAAAATTCCATGGGATAACCCCAGATTATGAGGCTATTACAACAAATGATAGTATAAATCAAGAGAAATACAACAAGCTCATGAAAAGAAGATTATTTCCCATTTTCCTTTATGCAGATGAAACAGCTAAGAAAAATAATAAAAAGGCACTAGTTGTAATTCCAGGTTTGGGCTGTGGAGTATTTGCCAAAAGATTCAAGGGAGAAATGGGAGAGTATTTGAATAAAGCTTTGAAATCTGTCATCAAAGATCTTCCACCCTGCGAAAATATCGCTTGTGTTAGATACGATCCGTACGATGAATGTGAAGATTGCGAAGAGGTTATTGACTCAGTAAAATTTCGTCTGAGGAAATATAATGGTCCATTGGGTAAACCCCAGCTCTCGAAAGTTGAAGACTTCGAAGAGAAGAAGGGTGAGTTTGAAAACTGCATTTTATACAAGGTCGTAGCCTGGGACCACGTCTCCTTTCCGGGAAATAACTACTTCCTGGGGTCGCGCAGAACGGACGATGGAGTTGCAGGCGCTGCCACCAACACGATGGAAGTACTAACCGGAATTAAAGGTTGCTATTCCCCGGGATACTATTTAAATGATAAAGGCAACCGGAAATGGATAACTGTTGCCTCCAATAATAATACTGAATTGATTGTTGATGGAAATGTGAGGGTTTCTGTGGATGATTGTAAGCTCATTGATCTAAGTGAGTACAAAGCAAGGTAGGTTTTCATAAGTTTGAATGTATCACATGTTTCAAATCAAGGTCTACATTGTATTTATGATTGAAAGTGCGGAGATGCTGTAAAATACAGATTGTTGTATCCAGTTTTCATCAACTGCTGTTGATATGATTTAAATAATAAAAAAAATGTGCTATTTATTTTAAAACATAACAATTTTCATTCCTTGCGAGATTCCATAACCCCTATATACTTTACATGTTGCATTTACAGCTTGCTAAATTTGATTAGTCTACTGTCATTGTCGTAACAATTGTTTTCTTGTATATCTTTTTTTGCTTGTACAATGGTGGCAATTCACGACCTGTAAACAGATTTCTTGAGTTGTATCTAGCACAGAACCTAGTGAGTGAGAGTTTATCCCAGGGTGGCCAGAGAAGCACACTCAGTAGTGCTTTACAACCTTTCTGAGCCAAATCAACAGTGGTGACTGGTCCAGCAGCAGACAAGTCATAATTAGTTCATTTGAAATAACTTGTTCCTCAACTTCTTACATAAGTAGGCCTATAAAATAAACAATCACAAGTGAAGTAGATAGAACCTTAGTTTAAGAATAAGAGAGACCTTCTACATTCTAGCTGTGTAATTCTCATAAAATGGAAAACTAGTAGGATCAATTGAAAAAACAACTTCGATTTTCAATATTTATTGATTTATCTTTACACACAATTGTGTACAGATATATAGACTTAAAATTGCTCTACTTTAAATGCATAACAACAAAAATAAACATTCAGATAAATTCAAAATATTGTAAAAAATGCTGGGTAGGCTACATAATGCCTTAATTTAAACACACATACTGAACAAATTTATGGTAATATTAATGAACCTTATCTCAAAATGCAGAGGTTTAGAAATTTATTGAAACATTTAACATTAACAATTCATATAAAGATAAATTAGAAACATGATAAAAAAATACAAAGTAGGTATACCCTACATACAAACTTTATAAAACCTTAGTTGGTAAATAAGATTATCAATGGAAATCAGAGGAATATGTTAGCTCAATAGATGTAGGGTGTTGAACAATATGCCATTTGTAAAGTTGGAAACATTAATTTGAATAATAAACATCAATGAAAGGTAATAAATGAGGGAATTTATATTGTGTTTTCAGGATCAACCTATTTGAAAGTTTATGTATCTAAAATTATATATTTAAATTTAGGTATCTTTTTTCATAAATGGAAAAATATATTAAATGAAAATGCTATCAATGAGGTTGATAAAGTTAGTAGTTTTTTGCTTAAGCCATTTTTATCTATAAGTTTTATCGTCTGAAGATCCTTCTTGAAGTTAAGGTGTCTTCTAAGATGTAAAGTTGTCTTTGAATTATAATACTGATAGTTATAAAATATAAATAACTACGGTATTTAAAAATGAAGGAGTTCTAAACAACTTATTTGACATATTCATACTTTGTAATGGCTACACAATAAATAATTATATGCAGTTACTAGCTTAAGTAGATGAACTGTTAAAGTTCTTTAAGTTGTTTAAGTTCTTGTATCTAGAAAGTAAAGAACTATCTGTTTGTTTTTAGCAAATTTAAAAGTTTATCCTATGTAATATTCAGGTTCAATTTTAGATTTTGAAAATAAGGCACCGATTTAAAAGTACAATAAGTGACCATGTCTCCTTTGCGATGTGTAGCCTTACAATACAATAACTTTGAAAAAGTATACAAATAAAAACATAATAATATTCATTAAAACCAAAAAAATTTAATTCTGTCCGTTCATTAGCTTATAAACTGATTCAAGTCAAAAATAAACTTAAGTGTTGAATTACAAGCTTTAATCATAACAGTGGATGAAAGTAAACCCTAAAGAAAGTATTTTGTAAATAGTATTTAGGTAGTATTATGTTTAACAAGTTCTTCTCTTACTAGATTACTCTCCGGGTTGTTTATCATTAAAGTTAATACATAAATGTTTCAATATAATCAACTAGGTAAGTTTAAAAGTAAATATAGTCAAACAGTTTTTCATAGGAACTAAACACAAAATAAGGACTAAATCGGCAGTATCGATTTCCATGTATTTTACATAATTGCTTTGAGAGTTAAATATGAATACAGACATTTACAAAATTCTCAATTTCAATTTAGAGAGTTATTCTAACAGAACTCTAAATTCAATTATATAAAAATACAAATCGCCAATCTCAACTCGGTAATAATTTCAGACTTATAATAAATTACAAAAAGCACACACATACTTGCTCGGTAATATTTACAGTACAAATCTTCAACAAATATTTTGTATTTACAGTAATATACAAGATACATGTGGGTGCTGGCGAGTAAAGTACCTATAGACATTTAGATTCTCTTCTAACCCTGGATATGTGACATAGTTGCTTTGTGGTAGTGGCGTTGACTCTACAAATAACAACCTAAAACTGCTACAAAAGTTGACAGAGCTATATCTAGTCTGCAACTGAAATCTGTAAGTGACATGGACATTATTACGCTTTATCTCAAACTGGAGTTTTACTGTATTGTTAAATTCATTATTAGTAAATTTTGTAAGCAATCTTTTAGAAGAATTGATTAAATTTTGCACTATTCTAGTAGTTTCAGCATTAAAATTTTGGTTAGTAATGGTGTGTAATGTTAGATGTCCATAAATTTGTATTTATGTTTACGTGAACAATGGATTTGTATTTGCTAGATCTATTTTTAAATTATTATTAATCAAACAAAATCTAATTTTTGAGTCTGTGGTCAATCTAAAACTTAAATATCACATTACGGTATGTGAATTTATTGATGAAAATTTTTGTCTAAGAGCTAAACATAAACTAAATAGTGGACCAGAAAAAACATACTTTGAGATCATGTTTGGTACCCTACTAAAACTATGTTAGTTTTCATCTAATTACTTAAACTAGTCCTACAACGCTTTTAGAAAAGTGAGTGGTGATTTCTATTAATTTCTTGATAAAATATGGCACGAGAATCTGTGAGCAATAACAGTTTGGAAATCTGTTGAATCTAGTTTTACTTAATTGTACTTAAAATTTTGCACTGTGATGGAAAAAAAATATTTAACTTTATTTACAGCATCCATCCTTCATTAATTCAACCAGTTTGAGTTGGTGTTTCACATTTTTCAGGATGAAAAGTATAATATAAATAAAGCAGATTTTAAATGCATACAATTGTCATAAGCCTGTCAGTTTTTATAAAAAAATTATTATACACATTTTATAATATACACACATTTTTCAACTTCTAAATACAAATTTTATGCTCTACACGAGCAGTATTTCATATTTTGCAGAAAATTACACATTCTTCAAACGGTACGCCTGTACACAGTTCTTGCTACATATGTAAGTATAATAACATGTCAAATTGTTTGGATGTTGTAGGAGCTATTCATATGAGCGTTTTAAATTCTCTTGTTCCTTATCATAGAGTAATATTTGAGGTTTTATGGGATATAAATGGACAACCAATCCCACATTCTTCCGCTGTGAAATGAACCGCTGAAATGAAGCAGTCTCCAAATAAGCGTGGCTCTGATAAAATGGGAACCCTGTAAAAAGAAATGCGCAACCAAGAGTGTCCTTTCTATACTCCATTCCAAATCAACCTTGCAGTTCAGATCTTATGGGAGATTGTGCTAACATAATTACTGGAAAAAGCATGCCTTTGGGTTGTGTCAGTTGCCCTCCCAACCCTTGTGAAGGTGTTAAAAGTACATTTCACTATTATCTGTTACCACACTTTTTAAAGATTGGTATTTTGAGCTAATGAATTGGATTTTGACTAAGGCACAGTCAAAATTAGTGTAGTAGAAAATTTAAAAGTAAAGGAGTGTTTTGTACCCTTTTTATTAAAGGGCAGCTAGTATCACTGAAACTGCCATTTAAATTGGTTTGTGGCGCTAAGTTCTGCACGGTGAATGTGGAATGGAGTGTAGCTTAGAATCTCAGATTTGTTGTACAACCCCACATCTACTCGCTGAGCTCCTGGTGGACGATGGCCTGGGTGGTGAAGGTGGTGCGGTTCCGCTGACCTCATGTGTCGTCAGACTCGGACGGAGGGTCGAGAGCCGTGTGAAGAGTGACGGACATTCCCCTGTTGAGACTAACCGCTGGGTAGAACACTCCGTATAGGTCTTGGAAAGCTATCGGACCCTGGACAATTTACGAGGTTAAAATTTATACTGTGATTCTTGGCACATTTTTACCTCCAAAGATGATGTTTCAGACTATTGAAATACTTTTTTTGATAGTGAAAAACAGAGGATGGATAAAACATGGTCCCTTACATAAATGTAAAAATTCCAATTGTGTTGACAAACATAAAATAATAAAATAAAACTCCTATATTCTCCTTTGCTGACCCAGAAGGCACTATTGTCAACATGAAAATATTGACAATCAAACATTGACAATTATTAGTATTAACTGTTTACTGTGTATCACTTGCTAAGAATTCAAGGTGTTATAGTCGGGGCCAGGTTAACGCTGGGCAGACCCGCAGGCCATAAAACCGATAAGACCCTATTCAGCCCGGTCCTCGCCACCGAACCCTATTATGCCGCTTCGCTGGGCGCGTGACTCACTGCATCGGCAGTACAGTACGCCAACGTGAAAATCTTTATTTTTTTAACTACGTGAAAAATAATGTGATATTCTTGTTCGTCTTAAAATTCTGACAAAATTGATATAAAACTGAAATAAATCGGCTTATTTAATAGTTAATAAATTAATGATAAGTTATGTCATGTAATAACACAGACATTGTATGTTATAAATTATGATATAGTATATGATGTAGTATTGGTAAGTTATTCAAAACTTGTCTGATAGAACATAGTTCATAATTATACATGATTAAACTATCTGTTTTACTACTAATCATCAATAATAATTATCCACTTCAATTTGTTTGCAAGTATTTTCAAATTATATGAAAATTACGAACAAAATACTATCAGATCTTTAAGAGTGACTCACAGTTGTTTGTCTCTTAACACGCAAAATTGACGTGCGTCTCCCTCATTCCTTGATGACGCGTTTCGTTTCTACAAATTGGTGATTTGTTCGGCGTTATTAGCGATGAGTAACGCGTTCGTCGAGCGTTCAGATTATGTTGCACTTTACCCTGGCGTTTGTTTTCCTTATCGCCACTGTATGAG